ATCATGGATGATGGCGGTACAAGATGGATTCAGGGTGCTGGAAACTCAAGAGAAAGGAATCTAGCAGCAAGGTTTAATACTGTTAGTAAGGTTCTGTTTAACAAGAAGCATGGATCATGGTTTGTGTCGAAAATCTATCTAGCATATTTGGAAGCTTGATGGTGTGTTCTGTTAAGGTTAACGGCGGTACAAAGAAGGGACTGAGGCTGTGGAGTTAAACAGAAGGGCATGTTGAATCAAGAACAGTTTCAAGATGGAAACGTGTATGATTCAGTAGCATTTGATTAAGCCATAGAGACTAAAGAAAGAGCTAAATCAGTCCTTGCTGCAACTGAAGGAAGGAAATCAAGATGCAAAGGGAAAAAGAGTTCAATCATAACAGATTCATATGGTCATGGAGGAGGCTGTTTGATTGATTGGTTTAACGTAGAAACTATGTAGCTTCAAGCGTGAGGCAAATATGATTCTACGAAAGGGAGTATGGTATTTTTTCACTTCAAGATTTCATTACTCGGGATACTAATGATGAGGAGTGAGAAAACATATATAGGTAAAAAGAATTACCTAAAGAAAAGGGAGGAGGCTGAGCTCAGAAGTTGTGAAGAATCAGAAGTCATGGAGTGTTGATTCTGGTTCCAGGTGGAGCTCGTCTTGGAAATCTGAAATGGTTTAAAGTTCCGAGTTAGTTAAGGTTCTCAGAAGAAGAAAAAAAAATACAGAGGCATAGGATTACATGTCAAAGAGGCTGTATGATTAATTGTTTAAAAGGTTATGGAAAGAGTCGTTACCTTTAGGCTTCTGGAATCGAAATGAAACTGAGACTGATTCCGGGTGGAGAAGCTGGTGGTATTATTCAGAGAAAAGTCAGAAGGTTCAAAGCTCTAAGGTCACACAAAATAAATAGACACGAGTGTTGTGGATACTTGAGTATTTCAGATAAAGGGCCATTGAAGAAGATTACATTAGGAAATGTCTTAACAGTGGAGATGGCGAAGGCTTTTGCCGGACGAGCTGTAGAGACAAGACAAGCTAATGCACTAGCTCTGTTTTGAAATTATCAAGAAAGATGAGTCGGACGCTCTTTAGCATTGATCAATGGTGATAGCTTGAGAGAAGATGGAAACTTGAGAGAGAGTCATGAATCTCTCTGAGTCTTTAAGAAGAACACAGAAGTAGTGCGGTAAATGGTGGTGGTGTAATCGGAAGAATCAGAGTTCAAGGTGGAGTAACTTGATCTGAGGTCGATGGCAAAGTAATGGTCAGAGTTGCAAACTCGGATCGGAGTTGCGATGGTGGTGAACCACTGGTAAAGCAGGTGAAGGGAGACGTGTGATTTATAGACAGCAGAGGAGGCGGAAAATTCGCCGGAGAAGCTGGAAAAAGGTCGGCAAGCAAAGGTACTGCCGAAAGGGTTTCACTATCAAAGGAAAATATCAAAGGGGTTGTGAGCTTGGCGTAGTGGTGTAAGAGTAGCAGGGAACACCAGAAGGATTGAGAACTAAGATATCACCGGATAAGATAGAGATTTCGATGGGCCGCGTTTCATTGACGTGAAAGGTAGCTCGAGAGAGAGTCGCGAATCTCTCGAAGTTCCTGAGCACAATAAAGAAACGCAAGTCATGGAGTTTGTTTGGCTAGGTCGACAGTGATGTAATCACTGAAAAAAAAAAAAAAAACAGAGACGGCGAAGGAAATCACCGGAGGGAACCATCGATTGCAGAAGTCGTCGAAATTATAGAGAAATTGACGGTTTGGAAATGCAATGATCTGATCGAGCGATCAAAGGGTATGAGAGTCTCGAGCAAAGTGTCGTCACAAGTTTTTTTTAACACCGATCGTTGTTATGTGGCTCTAAGGGAAACACCGAGAAGCTGGCCGGTGTTTGAGTCAAAAGTCGAAGTTGATAAAGCGAAGATGCTTGATCAAGTTGCAATGGTGTTTGAGCAGTTGAGATTACGACAGTGGCTAAGGTTGAGATGTTGAAGCTTGGAAAACGTCGCTAGAAGAAATTTTCAGATCGTTAGTTTCAACTTTCAACGAAGGAGAGGAGAGGTGAATCAGAATTAAGCCCAAGGTGGAGTTTGTGGTGATAATGGGCCTTAATTCTATTCATCCTGGCCCATTCAAATCTGTCCAGCATACAATGGAGGTGGTTTAGTCGATGCAATATTTCCTTTTGTACGTAAAGTACAAAGTCATAAGCAATAAGGAAATTATGCACAAAGGTCGGCTACAGTTTGAGCATAAATAGAGAAGGCCACAGCTTTAGGTGATGATCCGG